GAGATCCACCATTCCCCCGATGCAGGCCAGGGTCCTCCCTGGCTCTGCAGGTGTCAGGGTAGGTCCCACACATGTCCCTGGCCTCTCATGTCCTCCAGCCTCTGGCGCATCCAGCCACTCTCTGCCTGAATTGTCCCGGGTCCTCTGAGCAGGAGCCATGGACAAGCCCTCCTGGGTTGTGCTGGGAACCTGCCATAAGAAGCTCCATCTCTCTAGCAGCCCGGAGAAATGTGGGAGGGGAAAAACCTCCTTTTTGGTGCATGGTCTTCCCAAAATCTGTTCTCTGATGTTTGCCAGGCTTGGGCATCTTCCCTTCTTCCCACCCCTGCATGTGCTCCTGCCTCTCGCCATAAACTCTTGGACATCCCACAGGTGGATAGTGACTGTCACATTTTCCGCTCAGCTTCTGTACGAAGTCATTGGCACAAATTTGGGGTTAGGGACACACCAGATGCTGATGAGCACCTAAGCTGTAGATTTAAATGTTCAGGTTACCTGAGACCCACAGATGTAGAATGTTTAAAAACTGTGTGACACAGGTAACCACATTTGACGCAATTTGGTGGTTTTGAAGCTTCCACACCATCTCTCTCCCCCTTCCCCAAACACAATCTCTACATTTTGTAAATGAGATTAGGACCACAGCTTGCAATGCCAATCCAGGCTGTTGATCAGAGTGTGCTTAAGACTTTGCACACACCTTTTTATGTTAGGAGTCCTCAGACAGCCATGGGCAGTGAATGTATCCTGATAACTAACTTTTTTCACAGCAGCTCACATGGCACCGAGTTTTAGATTTGTGACCAAACCAGCCCTGATAACACACTGTTGTACTGGCTTTTGCTGAGCAGCATTTGCACAGCATCAAAGCCACCTCTGCTTCTCACTCTGCCCCTGCCAAGGAATAGATTTTGGGTTTTCAATATGTTGGGAGGGTACACAACTGGGCAGATGACTCAAACTAATCAAAGACGTATTTCATACAATATAATGCCATGCTTAGCAATAAAAGGGAAAAGAGTGGAGTTCAGGGAGTTTTCAGGGAGTTACCCATCTTTTTTGCTCAGGAACTGGCTCGGTTGCCCTCAGGAGATAGTGGGTGATTGCCTCTGCATCACCTGTTTTGTTTTTTCTTCCCTCTTCTGCCACTTATCTTTCATTTATGAAAGAATTCTGTTTGCTTGTTTGTTTGATTGATTGTGACCCCCAATTTTTCTTGCTTTTATTCCTCCTTTCCTGTTCCCCTCATGCCATCGAGGGGGAGAAGTGAGTGAGTGACTGTGTAGTGCTTAGCTGTCCATTGGGGTTAACCCACAACAGGTATGTATGGAGGATCCCTGTGTCCGTCCCCCCACACCCCTCCCCCCCCAGGGTGACCATCAGTTTTGTTCTTTTCCCTGTCACTCTTCCCAGAGAAACCCTGGAAATCTGTGGTCCCAGAAGTGCCATCAACACTGATCTGCAGTGGCCACTGGTATTGCCAAATTTCAAATGCCTGTGAAGTTCCACATACATATGAAAATAAGAGATGCCAACATGAGGGGATGGATCCTTTACCAAACCTGTCTAGCAGGTGTGATAGCCCAAGGTGTTAATGAAGCACATCAGATACCTTGTCCATACCCCCATGGAGAGGAGCATGAGAAGACAATGCCCACCATCTCTCTGGGCACATCACAATATATGGCAATGAAGGTTTTGTTCGTAACAGGCTGTGATGGATTTTGGATAGGTCAAACAAAAAGCCTGGATCCATTCAATATCCTAGCAGGGTAAAAGACTGTTTCCTGGTCAGCCTGGAAAGTCTTTGGTGGATAGGCCAAACAAAAAGCCTGGATCCATTCAATATCCTAGCAGGGTAAAAGACTGTTTCCTGGTCAGCCTGGAAAGTCTTTGGTGGATAGGCCTTGGTGAGCAGTAGTAATCACAGGGCTGTAGCTTGTTCTGAGCTTCTGCTCAATGTTATTTTATTCCCACTGAATATGTTGTGTTACGATGTTATGTTATGTCATGCTATTCACACTGAATTTACACAGCTCAGTACATGAATTAGTATATGAACTCATTAGTACATTGATTTACAATGCTTAGTATTTTCTCTTTCATATTGTGTAGACATTTCAGAACACCCCTGCCAGAACAGTCAGGTGCAGGTGGAACACATGGAGATGAAAGCACAGAGACTATAGCTCACAATTGAATTATTTATTGGGTTTTGCAGCTGACCAAGCCCCTGCACAGATTTGAGAGGACTGCATAGGAAAGGGCAGAGCCTGGCAGCTGGGGTGCGCCACGGATGTGCATCCCTCACCCTCTGTGGAGGCCATTTATCTGTACTTCTCAGTCAGAACAGAGGAAACACTGGACAGGAACTTGTCCCATGCAGCATGAACTTCTGGAGTGAAGTCATTGGGATAGCGGGCAGCCACAGAGCACAGAATACAGTGGGAAAGCAGCTGTAAGGGAAAACAGGATGAAATCCATCATAATCAGTAACACATGTCAGTATAGGGGTTTGCAATGGATCTTGGTCACAGCGTGCTCTGGGATGACAAGTATGTGTCCCAACCAGGTAGCACTGCTGCCTCATGTTATATATGAAGAAGGAGAGTTGCCTTTGATATAGGACAAAAAGCACTGCTTGATTCCACTCCCTCTTCCAAATGTCCTTTCCCTCCTTCCTCACCAAAGGGAAATGCAACAAAGTGTAAATGTTTAGAATTTACTAAGACTTTGTTCAAGACAGGTGATATAACCTGATGTGTGAGGGAGGTTCATAAACTACAACAAAGACGACAGAGACTTGAGTCTGTCTAACATAAATCATAGGTGCTAGACCAGATCTTTCATTAAAAGATCCAATCTCAGGTTAAAAAATAGGTGGAGAACAAGCAGTGGCATGAGTTGACAAGGCTACACAGTGCAGCCAGGGATCAAGCTGCCATTAGCCAAAATGATACATGGCCTCTCACTCTGTGATGGCAGTTTTCATTCCTGAAAGTCTGTGTGCTCACTCACCTTGAAGTTCACTGGGTCCACCCTGAGGATGTAAGCATGCAGCTCACTGAGCTTGGCCAAAGCACCTCTAATGTCATCAATGTTCTTCACAGCCTCCCCAATGGCATTCATAACCTTGGAGCCATGACCACGAAGCTGAGTTGAGCCTTGGCTGAGATCAAAGTGAGGGAAGTAGGTTTTTGTCTGGGGGTAGCTGGAGAAAAGCCTAGAGGAGAAAATGAGAATGAGATTCAGCAGTGGAAATGGCATGCATGAGATGATGGCAAAACCTCAGAGCAAGTGTGATGTAAACCTGCCAGCTACAGAAGTGCACTCTTCAGTGTTTGTAATAGGGCTTTGGGAGAGTGAAGCTTGCATGAGGAAGGTCTTTCTGCTCTTAAACTTCTGCAGTACGTACAGATTAGACAGTGGGCTAATCTGTATGTACTAGAGAAGAATGACATGCTAAAAAGGATTTAAAACTCAGTGTATTGTTTGTTCATTTTAAATAAATATTGGCCCACAAATTATTACTACATTTCCTATATTACACTGCAAACCAGTCTGCAGGACCTTCAAACTAATACAAGCTGAACAAACCAGAGTTGATATGAACGGTACTCAGAATCCTGGAAGGAGTATCACAATGCTTTATACTGAGCTGTAAATAACACTTAAATAACTTTGAATATTTCTGAACATTTTCCAGGCTATTATCCCTTTAGTGCCAGCTTCCTTCATTTGTATGAATTTTGGATTACTGTGCTAACTTCATGTGAGGGGTCCAGATGTCTTGTTTCCTGACAGTTTGTTCCTTACCACCGGAACAATGAAACATGAGTACCCAGTGAATTTAGTGGATAGTTATTTGCTTAATCTCCAGAAATTGCAAGAGAAAGCACATCACTTGTACAATAAACCACTTCAAGTGCATTTCCGAACAGTGATAACTCTGTTTCAGGACCGAATATGAATGGCTTTGAATTCCTTGCCAGGGCTCCTGGCTATGAATTATTCTGAATTGCTGTAATGAGAAATAAACCTATAAAATTGCTTAGAAGAAATATGGTTTGCTGTGAGATTTTGAAACATTTTGTAGCACAGATATAATTCCATATAATTACATACCAAACAACACAGATGTCATCCATCAACTCTCACCAGTCCCAGTGTGCTCTCACTCATGGAAGTTTTACACGAGATGCATCCTAATAGCAGAGCCAGAGGAGGCACCCTTTTCGAAGGAGTTTGGGGGCACTTACCTCTCCAGTGATTCTGCCCCAATGGCATCAGCTTGGGTAGCCACCTTTGCCCAGATGGTGACCACGGCAGCCTTCTCAGCTTGAGTGAGCGTCATCGTGCAGGAGGGTGCGGGCTCGGTCTCCTTGCGATGGATGCTCAGAGCAGGTTTGGACTCATCACCCTGGCAGCCCGGGTTATAAAGAGGAAGGGGAGAGTGGACGTTGGTGCCTGTCCACACTCATTGGTCACTCCAGAGGTCCACCCATGGAGATGGGAGACTCTTATCTCCCTGCGAAACAATGTCTGTTTCAGCAAGGGTCAGTGCACTGGCCTCCTTGCTTGCTGGTGTTATCAGCTTCTTGCTTCTTAACATAATGGCCGTGTGGCCTGAAGAAATTGTCTGGACACATATTGATACATGAACAGAGAGATAATGCTGGAAAATTCCATTGATGAGGCATTAGGACACATCCTTAAGCTGAGGAGCATATGGACTTCAAGCATGCTAAGGAGCTTGGAGAAAAATCTGCATTTTCTCACTTGTTTCACAGGTGTGAACACAAGACTCTGCAGTTTTCTGTGCCACATCGTACACTTCCAGTATACGTGGGTGCCATGTGGCACAATATTTCCTATGAGGTAGTTCCTAGACCGTTGCAGGGACAGGCTCGGAGATGTGCAGTATTGTTCAGAGGGGGAGTGAAACGAGATTTTGTGGGAATAAGTGGAGATTTTGCTGTTTGCTTTCAGCACTGCCAGGACTTCACTCTGCCAGCCTCTTGAAAAGAATTAGGGATTCACTCTGCAACTAATAGTGCTTATAACAGTACTGCTAGTTATGATTCCTATGGGTACAGGGAGAGAAAGCTTATGCCTCGTACTGCACGCCTTTGATTTCTAGCTGTGTGATCTTACTGTTAATTATCCCTGGTACTGTAAAACAGCACCACAGCCAGTGCTGGCATGCACTGTGCTACATGCTGGACATGCACAGGAAAGCCTGGGCCCATGATAGATGGCTAGTAGCTTCAGGGCACAGGCACTCTTGATGGGTGAAGGACCAAACAAGCAAAGGGAAGACCAGCACAAGTCTGTAATCACAGATAAGTGGGCAAAGTGTCAAAGAAATACTCTACTGGAGATGGTTGCTGTTGAACCTCTGGGAATGAATATCCTGCCAGCACATGAAGCAGAGGTAAATCTCTCTGCCACCCTGATAAACTACAGCAGCCGCACACATCACTACTGAGTGCTGGCAGTCATGCAGGGAAAGCTGGCTGGTACAGTCAGAGAGGTCAGATAGTGTTCTCTACCCAAATAGCCTTGCATGCTCATGCAGAGAGGGTTGACACGTACAAGCCAGATTCCTCACCAAGATGTGTCTGCATGTCACAGCAATGCTACCAACTCCTACAGAGGGTATTCCCCAAACACAGTTGTCCTGCTAAGAGGAAGCCCTTCAGGGGGCTAGTGATACTTGGGTCTACAAATAGACCCCATGCTCCTGCAGCTGTGGCTCTGCATCCTAGGGTCAGGTGGGAAAGAATCGTGGTACTGGAGAAGCAGTAGGGATGTGGTCAGTCAGCGGCCACTGTATCCTCCGGTATCCCCAGTGTCCCAGGGCAAGCAGCACCTGGAGAAGGGCTCTGACCCACCCCTTGTGCTTTTCACTGGGCTCTGAATTGAAGCCTCTCTGCATGTCATCTGTCACACAAAGCAGGAGAAACCTTGGGCTTTCCCAAAGGGCAGGCACAAAGCACTTGATGCTTTTAGTCTGCAAGTCTGGCTGGGTTCGGTGATCTTGTATTATCATCACCTCTGTGGAGACCAACCACCTTGTCTGGAGTTTAATTTAAGGCTGTGCTCAGTGCCACAGCTCCCTCCCTCTGCTCATTGGCTGGGCAGCTGGGTAATTTGCTTCTCTCTGTGCCTCACTTTAAGAGGGGATACAAGAGGGGACTCACCTGAGACCCAGCGAGCACAATCACTTTACCATAAGGAAAATTATCAGAGTGCTCTTTGTGTATCTTCCCTTTGATAAATGCCATATATGCCCACTGAAAAACCAGAGCTAACTGTCCGGCTATGCAGATGCAGTGCATTTTCCAATCAAAAGTGCCTCTGATTACATGGGCAGCAGTCCTTCAGTCAGGGCATAGGACAATGCAATGTTCATTTTACACAGCCTAAATGGATGGAGGTACTGAGCAAGGCTGTGTTCATCATCCCTTGCTACACACTTTTCACAAATTTGCAGTTTTCCTATGGAAAAATTACTTTGAAAATAAAGATGTTGTTAATTATACATTTAGTCAATGTTTTTGTCTCTTCCCCAAAGTGCTGCCTCTTACATTGCCTGCTGCGTGGCTGTGCTCCAAGTTCTCCTCAGTGAGAGTGCTTTTAATCAGAGGTTACTCAATCAACACACAAGGGAAGTGACTGTGGCCCATATATACCCAGGGATAAGGCAGAGCCTATCAGGACTCCTTCCTATTTTGCTGCCTACTGTTTAACCTGAACATTGATCTTCCATGACTGTAGGATTAAGGCCTATGCAGGCACGATGATCAGAGCAGAGGGTTCATCATCGCTGAAATCTTTATGAATTCTGGGAGATACTGTTGCACTGTCACAAAAGACAGAGCAGACAAAAGATGACAGTGCTTTGCTAGAAGGAGTTCGTTGCTTGCCCAGGATCAGGGCAGTGCTGAGGACAGTTACAGGAACTCCTCAGGAATGTGGCTGGTGGAAGAAGCGTGACCCTTGGCCATGTCCCATGATGTGACATGGAAAGTGGCCATCTCTGTTCTTGCATGGACCTCTCAGCCAAGCTCCTCCATCCCAGTGCTCCAGCTGCCCTCAGGATAGTAAGACATGGAGGACATGGCCTCAGCAATGCAAGGAGTTAGACAGCATGGTTGCTGGTGTTCCTCTGTCACAGGATCAACACTGAAGCTCTGTCCTCTGGGAAACCTCACCAGACCTGCCTTCCTCTCTTGCTGCTGCTGCTCGGAATTATGATTTATAGACACATAGCACAATGTCCACCCTTGGGCAGATGACGAAACTTTGTCATGAAGCTGTGAAATGTCACCAAAGGTGATTTTTAGTATTAACATAGGTCTTTTTTAATCTTGTCCCAAAAGTAGGCTGCCAGAGTTTCTCATTTTAAATGGCAGAAGTGAGCAACAGGCCTGTTTGCTCCTAATAAAAATGGGCTTATAATTCCCATCAACCCTGACTGTAAATCCAGCAACCAATTGAATGGCACCACTGTGAGATCAGGGATAACTTTACACATGGGTCTGTATTCTCCATGGGCACTGCCTCCCCCACACGGGGAATTCCTGTGGATAAGGTGGCACATAGGTCTGCTGTAATTCTGATAAATTTGGGGCATATTATATTTTGGGAATCTTGAAAGTGGAATCTCAATCCTGGTTTTGTTCTTTAATTTCCTGACAGTGTTCAAAGAAATCACAACTTTGTTTTAACTAAACTACAGCCCCCAAGAGCTGGAAAGACAAATACGTTGGTAATTTATTAAGAAAGTAAAATTATCCTTTAAAGCAGACATACTGGGGACTTTCAGTGTAGCTGCTGAGTGCTGGTGCATGAGGAATGCTCTGCTGTGATAATACGACCTCTCTTTAATCACCCTTAGACAACTCCCTCCCCTCAGTGACATCTTCTCTTGCTTCAGTGGTTATCGCTGGCCTTGCAGAGAATGGCCCTGCAGATTACACCCATGCTGCGTGTGCTCATCTCCCTCTTCAGCCACCCACCTCTGCACAATGCTCCTGGGGGGAACTGCAGAGCAAAATTCAGAGTGGGGATATCTCAGAGTGTTCAAGTATCTCAATAATGCAAGCAAGTACAGAAGAATTTATATGCAAAACCCAGGACATCTTCTAGTATAACTGCTGATAATTTCTGATCTCGGTTAAACACAAAGTAAGATGAAGGTGCCATACAGCTGCCAGGGGAAGTAATGTTACCCTTACTAATCTAGAGCCAGAAATAAATTTACAGGGATCACAAGGCAAGTTGTATCAGTGCTGCAAAGCACCCTGAGATCATGCAATGAATGTGAGAAACAAGACAAAGCGAGTCTTTCCATGAGCACGGGGAGCCAAGAGGTCTGACTTTGGCATCCTGCCTCCTGTGGGCACCCTGTAATGGCTGACCTGTGAGGGAGGTACAAGCCCATACTGCTGTTTGCCACTGGCTTTAGTGAAGTTCTGGAGATGTTAAAGGCTGAAATGGCTGAAAGGCTACAAATGACTCGTAGAGGCCAACGGCAATGGGCAGCCCAGGCCCCTGGCAGCCCCTGCATGATGGCTCCAAGGCTCATGCTGTGTCTGGGGGTCCACCACGCTGAAGTGGGGGTGCTGGGCCATGCTGGAGGCACTGGGCTGATCTGGCTGTAGCTACGTGAAGCACTGGAATAAACTGGAAGTAAGTGGAACAGGGAGCAGTGTCCATGGAAGTACTAGTCTGAAGGGGGGGCACTGGGTTGACTGAGAGCAGTGCAGGGGGGTATGTGTGTGA